GTTGGAAGCATAGTTATTATTATAAGTGTATTTGTGCACAAAAAAGGACTATTTACCAGTGCAGAATGAATGCAACGAACGCGATGAGCAACATTGTAAAGCGCTTAGGGTGACCATGGTCTGTAAAATGCGCTATATAAATAAACATTATTTACTTACTTACAAGTGCAGATTCAAACAAAGACAGGCACAGGAACACTGAAAAAGAAACGACTGTACAGAATATAAATGTTCAATATGAAACAAAAGTCTAGTCCACGGCCTCCTTATACCGTATACCAGGCTCTGAGCCATGAACCCAAACTGCCTCGTCCATGTTCCCCGCAGCCGTTCTCTGCTTCCAACGTAATCACACACGGACCAATCACAGGGCACCTTCTCTGCCCTGCCGGCTGCGTAGTTAGAAAAATCCGTGGGTGCCCGGGTGGTAGCACAAGAGTCTTGCGTTGGTCATGTGACATCACCGCAACCTCAGTGCCGCGCGAGTATACACAGGTCTTCAGTGTGATTCACAAAGTTGATATTTTGGCATCCTTAGAACTAGTGTAGAAAGAGACGCACATCCAAAATCATATAGTTTTGTGCTGAGTCAAAAGTAAAACCTGATAAAAGCCCTATACAACAGCAGTGTCCAAAGAATAACAACTTGAATGAAGCCATGACCGTGCTATATGCCTATAACTTTTTACATTTGTTCAGCATAAAAGATGTCATAAAAAGCAGCCATAGAAAAGAATATGTCTGTTATCCTCCCCGTCTACTTTAAACAAGACCTAGGTTTGTTATGGGAGTCCTGAGCAGAAGTGACAAGCGTTTTCTGGCCACACTCCTTCAAACCATTAGCACAAAGCTCTGACAGTAATATACAGCTGCACTTAAGGCTTGGCTGCGTGTGCTGCTGTGGGGCGTTCTGAAGCTGGAGATGAGATGAATCTGGACCCTCTGACAGCTCTGTCACACTAAAAATACCTGTGTGTGAGTTACGAGCACTCACCTACAGAAGCGCGTCCCTTTATGTCTTTATGACTTCTCCAGGGACAGTTATATGGGACAACATGGGGAGTCTTACACTGGCTCCACTGCCCATGAGACCCGGTCCGTGTTGAGGATTTATAGATTAATGCGATGGTAACGTGGATGTGAAAATGTATTGATTCAGAAAAGACTATGGAATTTGAGCGGTTTACATAAGTACCACAGTCAAAGCTGATATGAGCAATTGTAAATAGATTTAGTATTTTTCAGGAGTGATTGATATATACATTACCAATTCAAAACAATGCTGTACAAAACATTATACAAATCATAACAAGAACAAAGGTACATCAACTTCAACAAGGTACAATCAAGAACAACTTGATCTTTTGTCATTGGATTTTTACATAATCAATCTAGATAAAACATTGGCAGTCCCGCTGCCGCCTGCTTGTTCTTTGTAGAAATATATTCCAGCAAAGGTCTACTGCACAATATTCTCCCTATTCTATTTTAGTAATTGAGTTTTAGTTTTTGAGTTTGTAGAATTTTAGATTTTAGACTGTACTTGCTGGACTATTAGAGTGTATTCAGACCTGCACTTTTGGTCCACTTCAAACGGACCAGGATTCGTTTGGAACTCTGAAACGGACCTTTTATGCAGGTGTGAATACACACCAACGAATCCTGGTCCGGACCAAAGAACCGGACCGAGAGCCACTTTTTTAGGTGGTCTCGGTCCACTTCCAAACGAACTCTGATCCGAGTCGATTCAGGTCTGAATACAACCGGTGTCGATCCGACACAACTCCAGGATACGTGCGCATTTTTTGGGCTCAACAAGCCGTAGACAGGAACTGTGAGGAATTAGCCATGCGTCACAGCTGCTAACGCATGCTACACAACAACAATGAGCCGTGGGCAGATCTGGAGCAACACTGTGCCTGTGGGCAGAGGCACATACAACCCAACTTCTGGAAAAGACACAAAAAATGCGGTTGTTTTGCTCTAAAAAGAGCAAACATAGGCAGAGCAGACATGCAGCACGTACGAGCTCGATACTATCCTCCATTTCCGCATCTATTCTCCGTGAGCTCTCGCTGTCCAATAGAGCGCCGATCGTCACACGCGTCGGTATGTTTATGAAAAAAGTTTGCTTGTAAAAAGTACAGTCTGAATACGAACCGGACCAAAAGAAAAAAAGTTTGGTCCGCTTTTGGTTTGGACCAAGCAAGCGGACCAAAGGACTTTTCTGGTCTGAATACACCTGTATAAAAACCGGACCAGCTAAATGTGACAGGAAAGTACATTTTTCCACATATAGGCATAACTTAAATATAAGCCGCAGGTTGTGATTTAAGACTTAACCAACAGCTGATAGAGCAAAACAAAGCTGATAAACAACTGTTTTAACTGGACACAACATGATTTTCTGAAGTGTTTTCACGCACTGTTGACTCGTGATGATCAATCAGTCAAATCGTATTTAAAAAGTGCTTTTCTTACAGAAGATGCAACAGGAAGAGTAGACAGTAAAACCACGAAGAGAGACCTGGCGAGGTGCAGATGTAACCAGCTGAAGAAAGGCCATGCAGTTTTATTGACAATAAAACTGCTTCCAATGCCCATATCACTTAAAGAATAATACAAAAAACGCTGTGTGACAAAATAAAAATGCATACATTAGCCGCAGGGTTAGAAATACTTGAAGAGAGCAGCTGTTTACAGTCCAAGTACTGATTAGATATAACTTCAATCCCAAAGGATATTCTTGTGCCAGAGAGAGCTATAAAATCACTTCAGTGCATACATTTCTATTGATAATTACTTTCAATGAATTAAGTGATCTGTATTTGTAAAGAAATAAGATTACATTATTAGTTATTTTACATAGAAACTTCTCAAATGCTAATTCAGATTGTCGCCTTCAGGGCTCTATTGAAATTAAAAAAGGCTTTCATACGCTTGATGTGCTACAGTTTCAAAACGTTAATTCATATCACTACTTAAGGGCAACAACACCGTAATCAAAGAATATTTTATGTGTATTGTGTGTACACGTTTAATTTGTTTAAAAATAATTTTACATAAAAGATACAATTCTAAGAATTGTTTCTGTTTTGTGTCATAATAAGAAACATTGTAAAATATCAGTAAAGGAAAAAAAACAAAACACTTCTGCTTGAAGGGCGACAGTAGCTCAGTTGGTAGAGCATTGGCCTTTGGGCCTGAAGGTTGTGGGTTCAAGCCCACCATAAGACCTACTTCACGACTCCCACTGATGACTGCTGTCGTTGTGTCCTTGGGCAAGACACTTAACCCCACTTTGCCTGAAGCCCCAACTGAAAGATCTCAGCTCCTGTGGACTCACCACCTGCCGGAGGATCAGTGAGGGGCTGGTGCTCTGTGTACTGGGTGCAGCTCTGACTGCCACCCCCCCCGACCCAGAAATGGATTAAGGGGAAGAAAATGGATGGATGGATGGAC